AAAAAATATCAACAGTATATTCCGATGAGTTTTAACGTCTTTCATCCACGTTTAAAAGTTCATGAAAAGGTTTTGCGGTCAGTTGTGAGTGATTTTGTCAGCCACGGTCAGTTTTTCGAACTCCAGTTTCCAATAATGTCGGCCGCTACTAAGTTTTAAAATTACTCTTAGTAATCTTTCTGGGTCACAAAATAAACTTTTAACATATTTTCAGGCGCGAAAGTAGCTGTGTAAACATCAAATATCTGCTCTGTTTATCAAGATATCGCATGTTTGCAAAAGTGCTTCGACGTTTTCGGAGCATCTGCTACCCACCAGCTTGATAGCAAGCCGGGAGCTCGAGGGTCAATGAAGCCGCTGAGAACAGCACAACTCCCGGCACATCATTTTCAGATCACCGCGGGGTTTCGCTACTCAGTTTAAACGTAATGTATAAGTCACTTAGACAACCTAAAAATGTTATTGTTTGGTTTTTTTCAGTGTTTTATTTGTTCGTGAGTAAATCGGTTTGGCTGAGATTAATGATAATGTTGCTTTCCTTTCAGGTAATGGAAGATCCCTCAACTTAAATTCACCTGATCAGCATGTAGACTGTGCATTATAAAGTAAGTTGTGATAACATGTTATATTAAATTAAACTAATGGTTTTGAAATTGAAGCGGCATGAAATTACCAAGTTGACCCCACTTAATCTAACTTATTTGTTTTTGTAAAAACAATAAGTAGAAAATAATTGCTTATTATTTGTAGGATTTTTTTTCTTCTTCTCTATAATCTCAACATCAAATGTGTATAGATACCCATGCTCTTACATTTGTCATGAAAAACGATTTAGATTCTTAGATATATATTTTTCCATCACTTTAGGACCTGGCAAATGGGATGGCAGTGTAAGATATGCAAATCTTTTTCTACTACAAAGGGGAATCTTCTACGTCATTACAGATTACAACATGCAACATTTGGTCGTGGACAGCACCAGCCATGTCTGTATGGCAGTTGTCCTTGCACATTTAAAACACAAGGAGCCCTTCGCACACATTTGTCCAGATACCATACCGCTGAAGAGAGTCCAAGGCCTGGAGTGATCACTGCATTTAAGTGTTTGGCTTGCACTGCTTTTTGCTCTACTCAGAAGGACTATTTTCAGCATATAGGAAATCACTTGAAGAGACACGAAACTGTATTTTGCGTTTTTAATGGATGTGACTTTCACACAAATATATACAATACATTTCTAAAGCACAAAGGCAGGAGACATACATGTTGTTCCTTAACTGATTTTAAGAAAGAAGTCTTGGAAAGTCATCCTAGTCAGAACACTGACCATTCTGATGTCCCTGAACTCAACAGTGATGAATGCTCTAGTGATGTTGATCCAGAAAGTGCATCTCGTACTGTTCTTCAAGGACTTGGCTTACTTCTACTCAAGTTAGAAAGCACTTACAATGTTTCAGTGAGGTGCATTAATGCTTTGGTTGAAGATCTCTTCTATATTTCTTCTTCAGCATCTGTGGAGGCGGTTAAAAATATAATTGATTCAGCACTGAAATCTAACAAATGCACAGTTGACCACACTATCATAAAGGACTTGGCTGAACAGTTGTGCAGCTCTCATCCCATTAGCAGAGCTCTTGGAGCAGGCGGGCCACTTGGTTCAGCTTTCAAGAGAAATAAGTATTTTAAGGAGCATTTCCAGTTTGTGGATCCTATTGAATATATTCTTGATGCTGAACAAAAAAAGAGCTTTCAATATGTACCAGTTCTAAAGACTTTGCAAGAAGTACTGAAGAACAAAGATATTGCAGTGGAAGCCTTTTCGAGGTGCTCAAGTAGCACTGGGCATTTTGAGTCCATTTTTGATGGTACGTGTTTTAAGGACAATGACTTTTATGCTGTAGAAGAAACAAGACTCTCTATAATAATTTATGTTGATGAATTTGAGGTGTGTAACCCATTAGGAACCTCTCGAAAAAAACATAAAATAACTGCAGTTTATTGGGTTTTGGCCAATTTGCCATTGAGATTACAGTCTGCCTTAACATCAATACAACTAGCTTTACTTTGCAAATCTGTTGATGTGAAACAGTTTGAATACAAAGTAGTATTGGATCCACTTTTGAAAGATCTTGTCACTTTTGAACAGGAGGGGTTTTTTATTTCATGTTTAGGGAGAAATATTAAAGGCGCCCTACACTGTGTTGTAGCTGATAACCTTGGTGCTCATGCAATTAGTGGACTTGTTGAAAGTTTTAACGGGCCATATGTTTGTAGATTTTGCCTTGGACATTCTTCAGAGTACCAGACATATGAAGTACGGTCTGGGGTCTTCCCACTTCGAAAAAACGATGACTATGATTTACACGTACAAGCTGTCAAAGAAAATCCAAATTTAGTGCCTCATTTTGGCTTAAAGCGGTCATGTCCATTAACTGATCAACTTAATAATTTTCACTTTGTGTCTGGATACCCACCAGATGTCCTTCATGACCTTTTTGAGGGAATAGTGCCAAGAGAGTTAGCATTGTGTTTTCAAGTTTTTTTGAAGAAGCACTACTTCAGTTTGACTGAACTGAATAATATAATCACATGTTTTCCATATAAGGGCTCAGACAAATTGAACAGTCCACAAGCAATCCCTTCAAATTTTGCTGGTCGCAAAACTGTAGGAGGAAATGCTCATGAAAACTGGGCCCTAATACGTTTGTTGCCTCTCCTTGTTGGTTTACGTGTACCTGAAGATGATCCTGTTTGGCAACTTCTTCTGACTTTGAAGGACATTGTTGAGTTAGTGGTTGCCCCTGTTCACACAACACAAAGTATTGCCTACCTTGAATTTAAAATATCTGAACATCGTGTCAGATATTTGGAAGTTTTTCCTGATCAAAGGCTCACACCAAAACACCATTTTTTGGAGCACTACCCTGCTGTAATAGAAAAATATGGGCCATTGGTTGGAGTATGGACAATGCGCTTTGAGGCGAGACACAGATTTTTCAAGCAAGTTGTGAGACACACTAACAATTTCAAAAATGTGTTGCTGACCCTTTCTACAAGGCATCAAATGATGATGGCATACCACATGCAATCAAAAGAGGTGAAACCTGCCCTGCTTGTCACAAAAATATCCAGAATGCCTGTAGATGTGCTGCATCCAGACATACAGGCAGATTTAAGAGCAAGATCACCATCTCTGACTTGTGTGCAGCTTGCCACCACTGTCACCTACAGTGGAACAAGATGCACTGCTGGGATGATCCTGTCTAATGGTTCAACATGTGGACTACCAGACTTTGCTGAGATAATACAGATAGTCGTTTTGGACAATTGTGTATATTTCATTGTGAAGTTACTTGCTGCATGGTATGTAGAGCATCTGAGATCTTTTCAACTGGAGGACACTGGCAAGATCAGTCTTTTGGAGCAGCAGAAACTTGGTGACATGTGGCCCTTGGCTTCTTACAATGTGGGAAGAAAACGCTTGGTAACCCTGAAACGTTACATCTGCTGTGAATAATAGGTAAAAAAAAACAAAACGACAACAACAAAAACTTGATAACATGTACATCTCCCAAGTATTTGTTATTTGCAACATTTGGTGTGTTGAAGTGTGCTTTTTGTTTTATAGTTTTATATCTCAACTATTGTATAAATGAAAAGTAATAACTAATTTTATTTAATTGAAGGGAAATTTAACTCTGCCCATTTACATTTTATTCTAGGTTGAACAAGATGGAGGCAAAGCTTCGTGTAATTATTGATGACCAAATCGAGAAGTTGGTTCTTCCATCAGGGATCCCACCAACATTGGAGGAGCTGCAGAGTGTTGTGAAGGATACTTTTGGGATTTCAAATGACTTCAGTCTTCAGTATTTTGACCCAGAATTCCAGGACTACTTCACTCTTCACAGAGCTGACCAGATAAAAGACAAAGACACTGTGAAGGTTGTTGGCATCACCCCGGTCATGATAAACTTGACTCCAGTTGATGACAGTTTTGGCAGCCCCTCTGGCCAACTGTCTGACTATGACTCCTCATATGCTGAGTCAGTTGTATCCAATGCAGACTCTGCTGCAACTACTTCTTCTCAGGACACCATTATTCTCAAAAGGCAGAAGACCACAGAACGTTGTGAGCCCTGGCCGAAACAGTTTCCCATTCCACAGTTTGCATATGAAACTGAGATGTACCTGGAAAGAGCCACTGAGGAGTATAAAAAGAATGGAAGAATTACTTTTCAACTTTATTTGAAAAAATAGGACACACTACTTTTTTTTCTTTTTTTTAAAACAGTTCTTATGAACTCCTGTGTCAATGGAGGACTTAATGTGTTCGATTTTAACACTCTAAATAACACATTCAAAATAAATTGGTTAAAAATATAATTACAAATCCTACATCCATTTGGATACTATACCTATGTACATGTTTTCTAAGGAAGGTGTCCTTACTTATAATTTTAATATTGATAAAATCCCTATATAAATCTCTGCATTTCATCGCCAAGCTTTTTTAGCATGGACTCTTATTTACAAACATGGTCTACACAAACACCAAAACCACAACAGATGTGTGATTAACTTGTTAATCTTAATGGTTAAATTTCATATTCACAAATCCAAATGTTTAGGAAGACATCCCTCTTTTTATGTTTTTTTTCCCACGAGCTTGTGCAATACCTTTAATATAGTGCTGTTTAATTCTATTTTGTATAATGATGTTTAAATAAAGGTTTGTAAAAAAAAAAAAAAAAAGAAGACGAAGAAGGAGGAGTGTGCGTACTGTGCTCTTTGCTGTGTCTTGCCGCCGTTTTAAAAATGGGCACTTTTTGAAGAACCCGCATCAAAGTATTGTGGAGAAGCGTCGTGTTAAATCTAATTGATGAACGGCTTGTTGTGAAGTATTGTAACAGCCACTATGGTGTGGTGTCCCTTTAAGACGCCCAAGTCGAGGGTTGATGGTGTCATCAGTTTGTGCCACTGCTCTCTCGCTCCGGGATTATGAGGTCACGTGCCTTCACGCTTGTGCTTAACGAAGGACGGATTTATGTTTTCTTCTCCAGACATTTTTTTTGTTGTTGTTTTATTTGCAACGCTTGGGTTGTATGAACGCTGGGCGTTATGTTGTTGAGCCGCAGCCGTTCAACCGGGCTTTTATATGGTTGTTGAAGAAGGCGTATTAAAGAACCACCGTGGATTACCGATACCAGCGTGGGTGTGTGTTCTTCCGACTAGCCTGCTAGGTGTTTTGCCGCCTCCTCTCAACCACGCAACACAACCCGACGTTACAGTATGTATTGCAGCTGCGAAGACGAACGTACGTTCTCCTGTTAGGTTACAGCTGGTAGGAAGGTGCGTTCAGTGTCTCTTTGTAATTTTAAGTTTCCATGTCAAACGAGATGAAACAGTTATTTCTGGATGCGCACTTATTTGCTGAGATTAACAATGTGTTTTTGTAAACCACGTGATGATTTAAGTCATTTAATCTTTACAGAACATGTGAGCGAGGCTAAAAGAGCAATATTTTTATGTTTAGTAAACTGACGTTTCTAAATGTAACTGCTTTTATTTTATCAGTTCTGACGAGGACAGCTGAATGATGTTGTTGGTGAGCTTGGATTAAATCATCTCTAAACAAAGAACTTGTCCTCGTGGTGACTGACTTGGGGAGTGGAGGTCAGTGAGCCCATTGTCTCTGCTGGTCCGACTCCAACTACAAAGCCGGCCCGCTCGCCCCCTCCTGAGTCTGAGAGGAGATCCAGAGTAAGTCAGTTATAACTACACTGGTTGCTTAACTTTATCATTTTCTACAGGGTCTCTCTCTCTTAGCTCATTTTGGTTTGATTTCTGCCTTCTGTTTAGCCTCTCTGTTTGTCTGCCTCAGTACATTAATGTTTTATCATTTGAGTTACACTCTCTGTTTCCCTTCATATGAAGGTGATGTCTGTGGAGTGATCATGACCTCGTGTTGGGGAGTAACGGAATATATGTACCGCCGTTACGTATTTAAAATACAAAATATGAGTAACTGTATTCCGTTACAGTTACCGTTTAAAAAGGTGGTATTCAGAATACAGTTACTTTGTTGAAATAAATGGATTACACTGCGGTACTTTCCTGTTTCATATTGTCACGGGTCAGGACTGTTTGGGTTTTGTTTGACAGCTACGTTGTGTTGTTCCAGGAGGCAGCGTTACGGTTGCCATGGTTACAGGGCGACGCTCTCTCTCTGCGACTGTGTTTCCTGGGTGAGAGAGCGCCTTTTCGTTGTTGTTGTGCTAAGCTAACAGGCAGAATGCTACAAGCATAGCTCTAAAGAATGTAGCATCATGGGCAGTGTAGTCCGTGCTGCAGGGAGAATGGACTGCCATACACGTTATGGGTCTGTGAGCGCGAGGAGGGAGAAAAAGGGGAGTGGAAAGGTACGAGCTGTCATCGAGGAAAAACGGGAGCTGGAAGCATGTAAATATAATAATAACCACTTCAGCCAAGAAGAGTGCCTGACGAGCCCAGTTGTAAGTAAGCTATTAAGACTCGACTGTACGCTGTGTTCGTGTTTTCCTCCGAAAACAATAAGTTCCGTTGGAGCAGCCTTTCAACGCCTCTCTCTGTCTCTCGCAAGCAAAGTTGACCCAGACAACAAAGTAAAGCTATTTTTCGGCTATGAGCCGACAGGGACCCCGCCGTTTTAGTCAGAGGTCCCTTTACTACGGTTCGGCGTCGCGGACCTTCAGTAACAGTAATAAATCACACAGCAATAGTACATTAACGTTGTTGTAAAAAGCACGATAATATATTAAGTAATCCAAAGTATTCAGAATACGTTACTGTCATTGAGTAACGTAACGGAACACGTTACAGAATACATTTTGGGGCATGTATTCTGTATTCTGTAATGGAATACATTTTAAAAGTAACCTTCCCAACACTGAGTGTAGTATTAAGTGGACATGGCCCTGAAAAATAAAGGCATTAGACTACGTGTCCTTGGGGGGTAGAAAGCTGTAGACTCTCGCCCACGCTTGCCTGTGAAAAACTAGATAACAGGGGACCATCTTCTAGTGGAGATGCATTATAACTCACCTGTGCATTATAATAAAAGGTGTTGATTGCAGCTGACAGTGTCTGCAGACTTTGATAACTGTGTCACCCTCGTGGTTAATCAGAGGGAAATCTGAGTCAGTGTGGATTTGGTTGTACAGCTCTCACACATACAACCTGAACTGCACATTGTAAGTGTGATGTTCTTCAAATTTGAACAAAGTAAAAACTAAAAAACTTTGAAGTCATACGAGCCAATATTTTATTCACAATGTTGAACTTTTACTACTTTTATCCCCAAAATGAACTCACTTCAAATATTTACCACAGCATAGCGTCCCCAGGCACCTGAGACGTTTGGCAGATGGTGAAACTGTTTATCTTTGTGAGGTAAGAGGGGGCACTTGTGGATGAGCTGAAGATATACACCTGATGTCACTGTTTGGGTTCTTTGTCATTACAGGAGAAAGAAGTGAAAGCAGGCCCAAACCTCAGCACATGGATGACATCAACCAAAAACATCCAGCACCAGCAAGTAAAGATGAGCCAGCGGCGATCCCTGTGGAAAAGACTTTTCCTGCTATGAAGCAGCCCAGAAGACGCAAGCGCGCCAACAGGGAGGAGAGAAGCTTGAGCTGTGACCAGTGTGGAAAGACCTTTACTCTGATTGGTAGCTTAAAATCACATCAGCTGATCCACACCGGTGTGAAACCATTCAGCTGTGATCAGTGTGGAAAGACCTTTACTCTAAGATGCAACTTAAAATCACATCAGCTCGTCCACACGAAATTTAAAGCTTTCAACTGTGATCTGTGTGGGATGTCTTTTACTCACAGTAACAACTTAAAAAGACATCAGCTGATCCACACCGGTGTGAAACCATTCAGCTGTGATCAGTGTGGAAAGACCTTTACTCAGATTTTTCACTTCAAATCACATCAGCTGATCCACACCGGTGTGAAACCATTCAGCTGTGATCAGTGTGGGAAGTCTTTTACTCAGAAAGCTCACTTAAAAACACATCAGCTGATCCACACCGGTGTGAAACCATTCAGCTGTGATCAGTGTGAAAAGCGCTATACTCTGAAAGGTGACTTAAAGAAACATTATATGATCCATGTTGGAGTTAAATCATTTGTCTGTGATCAGTGTGGAAAGTCTTTTACTCAGAAGAGCAACTTAAACTCACATCAGCGCACCCACTCTGGAGTTAAATCATTTGTATGTGGTCCCTGTGGAAAGGCTTTTACTCGTATGACTGGCTTAAAATTACATCAGCGCACCCACTCTCGAGTTAAATCATTTGTATGTGGTGACTGTGGAAAGGCTTTCATCCATTACAAAAGTCTATTGAGGCATCAAAAGACCCACAAAGTGTCCTCCTGTGAGAAAAGTGGCAGACCAATGGGACATTACCCTGACAGGGTTCATTTGAACACAGTGGGAGAAACGGGGGATCTGAACAAAAGTTCTTCTGGATGCTGCGTAAAACTTAAAAAGCTTGAGATCAGGCTTCACAGAATTCAGCTTTAATTTCCTGAGAAAGTCAGAGCTTCACTGTCTTTGTAGATCTAGTGAAAACATGAAAGGGTGCAAAAAGAGGCACTGTGGTACTGCATGATGAAGTCAGAAGTGACAGAGAAGTATGTGAGCGTGGTTCAGGACATATTTGTGTGGTAGCAGTGACTACCACACATACTTGGGTTGAAGGTGGGGGGAGGATTACATCAATTCTGAGCCCCAGATGGAAATTAGCCCTTGGCTATAATCTGGTATGTTTACATTCATGTAATTTTTTTTTTTACATTTGTATTCATTAACATGCACTGTCCTAAATAAATAAATTCAAATTCAAATTCAAACCACTGTAGTTATGGCTAGACAGGTTACCCTGAATCTTCCCTTAGGTATGCTGCAATAGGTGGAGGCTGCTGGGAATTTCCCATGATGCATTGAGTATTTCTTCCTCAGTCACCTTTCTCTCTCACTACTTGTTAATAGCAGAGATGGATAGTAATGCATGCGTTACTGTAATCCGATTACTTTTTTCAAGTAACCAGTAAAGTAAGGGATTACTATTGCAAAAAAGGTAATTAGATTACTGTTACTTTCCCGTAGGAACGCTGCGTTACTGCGCTACTAAAACCGTCTTATTTTTTTTTTCAAGAATGTCTCATGACAGTGATGTAAGCGAGTGCGACGTTCGTGGCAACAGCTGTGTAACTCCCAAAATGACAACACAGGCACAGCTTCTTCAAGACGGGCGCTTCGCTGCATTTATTGAACACCGTGAAAACTATAAACATAAAACTCAAAGGCTTTAAGTGCTTCAGTCTATCAGAAATAACACTTGTGCTTTAACAACAAAAACTTACCTCGTGGCCGCCTGCCACTTCGGAGGTCCTAGAAGAATACCTTTACAGTCTTGCGGATTCTAAATTAAAACATAAAATAATTAGAACACCGTACATTACAAATTTTCACAATATTACAATACAGTTATAGCAAATGACAAATACCTTGTACAGCTGGTAGACTAAACAGGGCTTTGCCAATAGCTCGCTGAACTCCTTAGTGTGATTATTAAACGTGGGCTCACAGCCTATATTATCAAACCTCGCAATAATAGCGGTGTAACAAAACTTGTTCTTTGTGACAAGATAAACACACCTTTACAATATTGACCACAGAAATGTACAAGCAAGAACATTTTAACTGCTGGAACCATCTATTAAACTTCTTTATGCATAAGCCATTTCTGTGACACTTACACTCCCACCAAAATCACTCATTGTTTGCAATGTGACTTTCTAATGTGTCAACATTAAAGTCTGGTTCACTTTCCATGTCAGTCTCCAGTAAAGTCACTACCTTGTGAATAGGTCTTTCCAGATATATCAGCCTTGTCAGTGCTTTTCCCCTGTCAAAGGTAGTTTCGCTGGTCTTGAGCTTCACCTTTCGAACCTTGCCATCTGGGCTCTCTATAGCCTCTACTATTAGAGCAAGTTTCCATTTACATCTTGGAGCATTATCATCCTGCAGTATCACAATGTCATTTACTCGCAGGTTTCGTGAGACGTTCTGCCATTTCCTTCGCCGCTGGAAATTTAACAGATACTCTCGCCTCCACCTTTGCCAAAACTCATTTGCTAGAAATTGTACTCTCTTCTATCTTTTGTTCAAGTACAAATCCTCTCTGCAAAACTCTCCTGGAGGTGGAACAATAACTGAAGATTTCATCGTTAATATGTGATTGGGAGTTAATGGCTCTGGTCCCAAGGGATTGTTGAGATACTCAACAAGGTCTGCTGTTAATGATGGCCATTGTCTCGTAAAGCAGTGTTCTTAGACTAGCTGTATCGAGTCTGTTTCAGAACTTGTCCAGCATCGCTGTCAGTACACTTCGTACTGTTTGAATTTGATGTTCCCAGATGCCCCCCATGTGGCTAGCTGCCGGAACGTTCACCACAAATTCACAACCAATAGCTCTTTGTGGTTCTTGATCCATATCCTTCATTAGCTCCAAAAATTCTCTTTTGGCGCCCATAAAGTTTGTCCCTTGGTCATGTGGCAGGATGAATGTTATTCCTTGGTTCAACCCACTTTCAGCCTGGCGCATTAGGGGGCGCTAGTATAAATAGTGGCCATTTGAGCATTCCTGGATCGCTTACCTGTGATCTCCTTTTTGGTCACCTGACTTCCCTTTGGTGTTGCAGAGATCATTCTGAAGCCTCCATCGCGACTGGTAGGTGTTTACTCATTGTAGTGTGTACATTACCTTACTTGGTGGTAAACAGATATTGTTTTTAGGTCATAGCTGTAGAAGCCTCCTATGAGCCACTCTGCTCATGTTTCATGACGCGGTTTACTTGGTACGTAATTCAATTTTGTTACGATCTCTGCCTTTTATTGTTCTTTTATAGTAATTACTTATTATGCTTTGCAGGAAGTGTGGGCCTTAGTTTTACGCAACGCTACGCTAGCTGAAGTGCTGCTGCTTTGCTTTGCTTTGCTTTTACCGTCTGTTCCCGTTGCGAGGTTTCTCTTCCTGCTGCTGCCAGCTTTTTAAAGTGGACGTCGGCGTGGACAGCGGCCATATGCATGCCGGTTATGGGAATCAGCTGGTGTACATATTAATTGACCGGATGATTAACTTATAGTTGGGCAGGCGGCAAGTTGGAGCAACACGGCGATTCCATTTGCTCCAGATTTTAACGTTTTATCCAGATTGTACGTTGTTTTTCTGTTGTTTTGATTTGTAGTTTGGATTTTTGTTACGCCACTGGTGGGAGGCCCTTTTTCTAGCTGAAGATCACCAGTGTGGTCCTGCAGTTGGGTTATCCCCCGGTGCTACATTAGTTTTGTTGTAATATATTAAAATTTTCTTTGTTCCTTTATTCAGATGCGGAGTGCCGACATGGAGTAGACTAGGGTGCCTTGGTGGTGGGATCCTTTGAGTGTACACACCTGCCTCGTTTAGTTCATTAGTGTGAGCGTGTGATTTTGTGTTGCACTTGTATCTTGGTGTGTTTCTTTTTTTGAGTTTGTGCGTGGCATCCCTGCCCCTCCACTGGTAAGCCTCAGCTCTGAATACCTTTTTAAGCATATTTGTACATGGATATTTATGATTGTGCTTTTATATGGTGTTTTAAATGATTATTAATAAATTGTCAACTTGTTTTATCATTGAACCTCGTCTCTGTACTGAGTATAACAAACCTAACTGCCTTCTTGGTGATTAGTGTTACTTCCAGTATTCTCTGGGTGAAATTCCCAGAGTGGCGTTGTCTTTTAAACTGTGAAGAGTATTTACTTTATTCTCACTTTGTGCTGCCACAGTCACATCTTAATTGCTGGACAGGACCTCTTACGGCTATCAGAACTTGAAGAGCGTTCATGAAGGCATCTGTCGATAAGTCATCTAGCGTTTCAATGTGCACAACTCGTGAACATAAACACGTGAACAATAGTCCATACCTTTTGACTTCCTTTCTTCCTTCCTTTACCATGAATGAACCAAAACAGTCGACACCACAATACGAGAACGGAGGTGCTGTCAGACACTTTGATGAGTCTTCACATATCTCACGCCAAAACTTCTGAACTGGTGGACAGAAACAAAGAGCGTGGATGTAATTGTCCGGTGTATTTGCTAGACAGTGTGAGCAGTTGTTGGAAGGCGTATAGCCCATCTTGAACATCCTATGACCAGTATAGCGCACTCTATGTAATATTTTGTATTGTATTAATTGCAAACTGGGATTTCTGATCCATTGAAAGGTTTTTAAGCTGAATCTGTTTCTACCTTGAGAAACAATATGTACTCTCATCCTGTACACTGAAGGCTCAGAGTTTAAATCGCCTTTGTCCCACCAAAGAAATCTCAAATAGTCTTGATGCTCCTTGGTGACGTGGAATTGGTGGAACATCCTCTCCACATCCCACATGATGGCGATGGGGCCCTTTCTGAATCGACATAACACTCCAATCAGTGCATTGGTAAGATCTGGTCCAGTCAGAAGGTGATCGTTAAGAGATGTCCCCTGGAAATGGGCCGAACAATCAAAAACCACATGTATTTTCTCAGGTTTGTGGGAGTGGTAGACCCCATGGTGCGGTATATACCATGCTGCCTCATTATCCAGTTCTTGCTCTGGGACCTTCTCTGCGTCTCCACCTGCTATGATGTTGTCCATGAACTTGACGTAATCTTCATAGTATTTCTTATCTCTTCTGAGCCGACGTTCCAACGAAGACAGTCTATGCTCAGCACATTGTTTGTTGATTGGAAGATTTGGGTTGTCGGTTTTGAATGGCAATGGGACTTCATAGTGACCGTTTTCCTTATGCCTTTGGTCACCTTTGACATGAACAAAATGTCTTCCTGAGAGACTGGATTGTCATCTGTTGCATGCTCAGAGAAATCAGATCCCAAAGCCTTTATTACATCAACTGGACCAACTTCCTTCACTTCTGCATACAAAATGCACTTCTTGCTTGAGTTCAACTGCTTGTTGTACTGCAGGAGTAACTTCTCGAACAATGATTCTGTGGCTTATGCCAATATCATCATTGTGATTTTGAACTTAATGTATAACCAACTATGCTCCAGCCGAGATCAGTTAGCTGTGTGTAAGGCTGACTCTCCTCACCTGCAATAATTTCCCATGGAAGAAGGGCTTGCTGACAGTTATAGCCGAGAAGCAGACCAACTTTGCATTCAAGCATTGGAGGTAACCTATCTGCCAGCCTTTTCAAGGTGAGGCCAATTCAAAGCAGTTTCAGACGTCGGGATGTGTGATCTGTTCACAGGGATGAACTCTCTTGTATAGACCAGTGGCAATGTAATTCTCTTTTCCTGCTTGTAGCCTCTAACTTGAAGATTTACCAGTTTCTCGCATGGTATGACTGTTGACTTGGCGGACATGGTCGATAGTCTTAGATGAGCCTTACTCTTATCTGTGTCGAGATCCTGGGCCACTTCATCCAAGATAAAGGATGTATCGCTCTGAGAATCGAGGAGGGCATACACTAGAACTTCTCTGTCTAGGTGATTTTTTTTTTTTTTTTTTTTTTTTGACGAAACCCAGACTGGTAGAATGGTGGATGTCAGTGTGCTCGAAGTTACTTGAGTTACTCTATTAGTGATTGCGGTTGCTGGTTCATCTCCTTCGCCCTTGTCTTGAGAGTTATCATTCGTTTCAGGCATTATCCTTCTACGCTCTACAAACTTGTCATCATGCACACACGTGGGATGCTTCTTCTGGCATTTTTCACACGTGTTCCTTTTATCACACTTCTTACAATGATGTCCCCCCTTTAAACATCCAAAACACAACCTTTCTGCTTGTACAAACTTGATACGATCCTGGACTGATTTTTCCGTGAATTTGAAGCATTTATCCAGTGTGTGACCATTTCTTTTGCAGTAAAGTAAACTGTGAAGTTTGTCTCTGAAGCATTTTCCTATAGTGAACAGATCTCCAAAGCACCTTTCCCGCACTTCCCAAGCTGCATCATACGCTTCATCTGTGCCCACTAGGAGAAATCCTTCAACCACTCTCTTTGCGGGTCCACCAAGATACTTCCTGAGATAATAGAGCTTTTCGTTCTTTGGAATGTTTTTTCTTTCAATCAAGGTCTCAAATGACAACTGCCAGTCCTTGAACTTTAAAGGGTCACCAGTGAACAGTGCAGGTTCCAGAGTTGGAAGACGATTAGCACTTATTGCGTCTGCTAGTATGCTGACTAGATCCAAGTTTGGCTGTGGATGAGTTGCTGAAGCGGCAGCTTGTGTTGCTTTAGGGATAAATGGCAGACTTGATGCGTTAACTGCTTGGCCTGTGGTGCCCTTAGGTTGCACACCAGGATTTTGTTGGGCTTGGTTTATGACTGTGGGAGTACGTGGAACAAATGCAGGGCTTGTGGCATTATGGGCTTGGGTTGTATTTGGCGCTTGAGAGGGAACTTGTGGTGGAGCAGGGATTGCTGAGGTTTCGCTCTCAGTTTTGATACTGTGCACTAAACTACGACTTTCAGAAATACTCTCAGCTTCTGCATAAACCTTTACTTTAGCTCTTGCAGCATTCAGTTTTTTAACCTCTTCCAAGCGTTCAATCTTTCTGCGCTGCTCCTCCATTGCTTGTTGCCTTTCTAAGTTTTCAAGTTCCAACTTTTTTTAGTTCAGCTGCTTCCCTTTCTTGATCCTCCATTACTGCTAATATTTCTTGACACACAGCTGCCTCAGCCTCTGCTTCTATTGATTTGTGAGTATGACGGGCTTGAACCACTTTTAGACCTTCGTGATCTTGATCTTGATTTAGTACTTTCAGATCCTAAGCACGACCCAACATCTGGCCATGGCTCTTCATCACCATCTGCAAGGTCTCCTTGTAAGTGTTTTTTAGCTCTTCTGACAATGAACGAGGAAAGTGATGTACATGTATCCACTTTGCATCTTTCATCTGCATCAGGAGTTTGTATTTGCCATATTTGTTCATAAATGATTTGTACATCTTTGCAAGCAACATTTACATTGTTGATGAGCTCATTCAATCCACTCTCGGAAACTTCATTTCTTAATATTACTTTGCTCAATCTTGCTTCATATCTCCATTTTTTTCAAAAACGGCATATCTGTGTTGGAGGCCTTTGAGTTTCTTCTCTTGAAGCTCTTTACCCTTTTCTGTTAGTGTTCTTACTCTTTCACTTTTACAAACAGTCTGTAGTTCTGTAATTTGTTCATCATCATTTTCTTCCACTTCAGTAAGTGGTACAGCATGGTGCTCTTCGAGATCTTTGTCAACGATCTCGGAGTCTAGTTAAATGTCATTGAGCGCACTGTGTTCAGAGTTCAAATACTTCTTATATTTGTGACTTAAGTTACTTTGGGGTTACTGTTACTGTATACTTTAAGTGCACCTTTTCTTAAAGGACCTTGTAAACTTCACTCAAACTTTGACCTTAAGCAAGCACACAGAACTATTCACCAAACTACAAAGCATACCTTGAAGTACAGTAGAAATGAAATAAACTTTGACAAATGTGTTATAGAAACTTATTGTGGCTCTTTAAACTTGACTTAAACCACTCTTATTCTACCTTTAACACTGTCCTTTAACAATTTACACCTTACTCCAGTTGTATAACGTTGCTGCTGCTGTGCTTGGCTGCTTGAGAATGGTGAGCTTATGCAATTGCGCCCTCTTGTGTCGCTCCACTTCACCGTCACTCTCTGCAGCTGCCGTCTTCGTAATTAGCTTCTCACCGGCACTGGCTAGGGCGAGTTTTCACTGTAACTCCAAAATGACAACACAGGCACAGCTTCTTCAAGACGGGCGCTTCGCTGCATTTATTGAACGCCGTGAAAACTATAAACATAAAACTCAAAGGCTTTAAGTGCTTCAGTCTATCAGAAATAACACTTGTGCTTTAACAACAAAAACTTACCTCGTGGCCGCCTGCCACTTCGGAGGTCCTAGAAGAATACCTTTACAGTCTTGCGGATTCTAAATTAAAACATAAAATAATTAGAACACCGTACATTACAAATTTTCACAATATTACAATACAGTTATAGCAAATGACAAATACCTTGTACAGCTGGTAGACTAAACAGGGCTTTGCCAATAGCTCGCTGAACTCCTTAGTGTGATTATTAAACGTGGGCTCACAGCCTATATTATCACGCCCAAACCTCGCAATAATAGCGGTGTAACAAAACTTGTTCTTTGTGACAAGATAAACACACCTTTACAATATTGACCACAGAAATGTACAAGCAAGAACATTTTAACTGCTGGAACAATCTATTAAACTTCTGTATACATAAGCCATTTCTGTGACACTTACAAGCTGTGTGCAGATCAACAATGGATAATATATCGAGTGCAAGAGAGAGTATGAGCATCCAGCGTTTAAAGAGTGGTAGTGCTGACCTTACTTTGAGTTTGATTCCATGAAAAGTGACAAAAACATTAGCGTTCATTGTTCGTGGGAAGAAAACTTATTTTTACAGCGAAAAAAACCCTAAACTTCCAAGCAAGCACCAAGTGCGCTACCATGCAATGGGAAAAATCACAGAGAAATTTGCAGATTATTCCATTGACCGCTGCTTTACAGGTGAAAAGGGAGCAACAGGACCGCTAGTCTTTGATTTAATTTATTTTCTGCTGTGTTTTACT